ATATATATATGTTACTGACAGTTAGGGCATTGATGTAGCACAGGGACACCTGTACACCAGCCCATGACTTTAACATTGTTATCAGCATTCATGTATAACGCACATCGCACGCTTTACGTTTTTAATGACAAGATTGTCTTTATTCAAAAGATTGTTTTCCAACAAAAAAAGGAACATGGTTTGATAGATAAAGGGATATAAGTGTTAGGTACAGTCATTCCTTTAGTACATAAAGCCTGTCAGTCACATTTCCCGTTCAGATAGACGTGAATTCATATCACACTGCTTGCACTACCCAACCCTAGGAAATATCTTCAAAGGTATAGGATTATTTTTTAAGTATTTGTTTTTAAAAAAAAAAAAAAAAAGTTTTGTTTTGGGGGGTAAATATATGGGCACATTAACAGATTATTCCTTAGTAATAGAGCTCTGAGCGCTAAACTCTCCAGAAAGTAAAATAATGCAAATTTCAGGGTAAAATATCTAACACAGATCCCACTCAGCCGACAGCAAATGAAAGTGTGCAAAACAGGTCAGTTGGCAATAATACTATTTCTTATTATTTTCTGAAATAATTTAATATCAGTTCCTTCAAAATTCGAGGTCAGAATAACATAGAGAAATGAAAGGCAAACTCAAATAGACATCAAAATTCAATAAATTAAAAATCATTGTCCAAATTGTGTAATAGCTAAAAATGAACAAACAAACAAAACAAAAGTATGAACTTGTACGATTCTTACAATTTGTCCTGACAATAACTTCCAGCTTATCCGCATGGCTTGAGGGTGAAAATAACTGGACTGGTCCTTTCATAAATAGTAAGTGCATCGTTCTGCCGGGAGCTTAAAGGTGAGTTGGTCCAAGCCTCCAGCAACCCTCTCCCATCACTGTTCTAGGACCTACCCGTGGCAGTCCGCCTCTACATGCACCAATGCAGTTCCCATTTCCTCTAGAAGTCCTTCTTTTACATGCCTGCAGTGTGTGCAGAGGAATAAGGGTCTAAACCAGCTTTAGTCATGCCAGGGAACAATATATAGGCAACTGGAGGCTGCAAGTTAGATGTAGACCATGCAGTACAGTTACAGGGCACCACATAGCCGGGGTTGGTGGGAGAAGGGTGTGTGTGTGTGTGCTGGCTGGGACAGCTTAAGCCCCCAAAAGCTCCATTTTGGTATCCCAAGGTCGAGGCATAAGGGAGGGTACTTGTGGTCAAGGTATGTGGCATCTCAGTCATCTTCTGAATGGTGGTGGAGCTAAACTGGCTTGGGTCCAGCAAAGAGTAAGGTGCTGAAGTAGGTGGCAAGAAAGCCCTCGCCTTCTCGACCCCCAAAAGAGACTCAGTGGCACTCATGGGGAGTCCTGTTTTAAGATGGTCATGGTCTCCAAGGTAGGGCAGTGGAAAGACATACCTATCCTTCTTTAAAAGGTTCTTGGGCTTGCGCCTTGGTCTATACTTATAGTCAGGGTGTTCCTTCATGTGTTGAGCCCTCAGCCTTTTGGCTTCGTCAATGTAAGGTCTTTTCTCGGCTTCAGACAGAAGTTTCCACTCGGCCCCAAGTCTTTTACTGATCTCCGAATTGTGCATCTTTGGATTGTCCTGGGCCATCTTCCGCCTCTGCCCCCTGGACCACACCATGAAGGCATTCATGGGTCTCTTGATATGGTCAACAGGCTTAGACATGGTACCGTTCAATCTCAGCGACCAGCTACAGCCAACTCCAACTCCCCCCCTCTTCTCCGTCCTTTTGAAAATGAAGAATGGAGTCTTAACTAATCATGCCAAATATTCAGTGAGGGAACAAAAAAAGATCTTAAAGTCAGCTGCGGACCTTCCCACCGAGCGATTGTCTGGGTTCTCTTGATGGAGGTGCAACTATGAAACATGGACGATCCAGCAGACGTCCTCCAGGTCCACTGCGAGCTCTTGCTGGAAGTCCAAGGTGTGTGTGTATGGCTGCTTGCCTGCGATAAAAGACACAGTGGACTGAAGAATGAAGGAGAAAAGCACTCATACAGATTACTTCCTTACTTCTTGCTGAAGGTGTCTTGTTTAGCAGAGCACCTTGCTGGGAATGAGGAACAGCGCATTGAAAAAAAAAATACACTGAGCCAAAAGTGGAGAAGTTCAAAGCCTTTTTCTTGCTTAGTGCAGCATGCAATCTAATAATCAAAAGGGTTTACACCCCTAGCAGAGACACCCAATCAGCTTGCAGCTCAGACTGAATACCTTCCACACCAAGGCACCATCAGCACACAACACTGAGGAACAGGAGGCAGAGAAAGGGAAAACACTAAATAGAGCAGATTATGGAGGCAGCTTTTGTTAGTTAATCCACTAATAGAAGCAGCCAAAACTCCTCAGCTCCTCCTGCTTTTATGTGAAGGGTGTTAGGTGAGGAGTTTAATGTCAGGGGGAGTTGGGGCACCTCTGATGGCTTCACAGAGGTATGAGTGCAAGCCAGGTGTGTGTGTGTGTGTGTGTGTGTGTGTGTGTGTGTGTGTGTGTGTGTGTGTGTGTGTGTACAGCACTCTGGAATGTGCCTGTAAACACACACACGAAACATTTCAGCATCTGTGTGAGTATGAGAGAGCACTCATTTGCACACTGGCACTGGACTGTCAATGTTTATAGAAATGTCTATAGAAAAATGGAATTTGGAATGTACATTTAGATTTCAGTACGTGTGTGCGTGTGTTGGAGAGATTGTCTGACACACTTCCAGAAATGGTTGTGCATTTCGTCATTTGCTGATATTTTGGAATATTGTGAACGTGCACACACACCCACACACAGACTCAATATTCTCTTCATATGTGTGAGACACACTAACTAGAATTAAATGTTCTGTAATTGGATATGCTGATTAAATATTTTGTGCAGTACACACACACACACACACACACACACACACACACACACTCCCACTTATATATTCTCTTCATATGTGTGAGGCAACCTAACTAAAATGAAATGGTCTGTAATTGTATATGTATGCTAATTTTTCTTTTCAGATTAAATATTTTGTGTCGCACACACAATGCGTGTACTCCAATCTGAAATGAACTGGTAAAT